GATGCGAAGTGTGATGGGCAAAAGATACGCGTACGCATGCTGCCACAGCCGCAATTCGCACCGCCAACCACCTTCGCAACGTAAGTGCGCTTAGCTATGACGAAAGTGGCGCGAGTGAAGCGGTCGGTAGCCTAGCCGTCAAGTAGTGCAGCATAGTTTATGCAAAAACAAATAGCGAAATTCATATTGGCATTTATGTGCGTGTTGTTGTTGTAGCGGTTGCCACAGTAGCGCGCTGCGTTGACTGGAAGCCCGAAATTAGAAGCAAATCAAATCGGTAACGATTGTTGCAACGGATGCGCTCGTAGGCTACGATTGGCAATCACTTCGATAGATCGTCCGTTCATCTGTCTGTCATCGGCGCAGAAGATAGCGCTCGGTCGCAAGACACGCTGATCTTTACGAAAAGGTCTCGTCAAAGGTTCAAAACAATTTCGCAATGTAGCGTGAGATAAAATCATAAATCTGTGCGGAATTTTTGTTTTTTTGGCGAAAGACGAGCAAAGTAGCATTGAATTAATATAGTTGCACTCAAATTTCGTTATGACAAGACAACAGAGTCATCAAATAGGCGCGTAGTGGCGCACTAAAGTCAAACAAATAACAGAAAATCATTACTGACTGCTTACTGGCCGCTCAACTCACGCGCCACTGCAGATTTGTCAATTTCTAAATAGCATATGCACGTTTCTGAGAATAGTGATGTTTTGACTGAATGCCACTTGTATACGCTCAATCAGATATAACCAAAACATATCCTGGTTTGATTAGTCAAAGAAAGTACTAATACGAAAACAGGTGCAATTTAAGCTCTACTCTGTTTTAATAATATGACATTTACTAAACATACTCGCCCTCCAATATTTTCTTTCTTCACGCGGTCTTAAGTAACCTTCTATTGTGTATACGCTGGTCTAATTTTTGTTCAATAAAATTCTCAGGCATCTGCAGTTAAATTTTTTTTTAAGTGGGCGTGGTCCCGCCTACTGTTATATGGGGAGTGGGCGGAGTTGCCACCCGATTTCAACTATTTTCACACCGTCAATAGAAGTGCTAAAAACATTTGCTTGCAGTGAATTTTGTTATTATAGCATTAGCGGCTTAGGAGATATGCACATTAAACCTATTAGAGGCGGGACCACGCCCACTTAAAAAAAAAAATTTAACTGCAGATGCCTGAGAATTTTATTGAACAAAAAATTAGACCAGCGTATACACAATAGAAGGTTACTTAAGACCGCGTGAAGAAAGAAAAATATTGGAGGGCGAGTATGTTTAGTAAATGTCATATTATTAAAACAGAGTAGAGCTTAAATTGCACCCTGTTTCGTATTAGTACTTTCTTTTGACTAATCAAACCAGGAATATGTTTTGGTTATATCTGATTGAAGCGTATACAAGTGGCATTCAGTCAAAACACTCACTATTCTCAGAAACGTGCATATGCTATTTAGAAATTGACAAATCTGCAGTGGCGCGTGAGTTGAGCGGCCAGTAAGCAAGTCAGTAATGATTTTCTGTTATTTGTTTGACTTTTAGTGCGCCACTACGCGCCTATTTGATGACTCTGTTTGCTTGTCATAACGAAATTTGAGTGCAACTATATTAATTCAATGCTACTTTGCTCGTCTTTCGCCAAAAAAAACAAAAAAATTCCGCACAGATTTATGATTTTATCTCACGCTACATTGCGAAATTGTTTTGAACCTTTGACGAGACCTTTTCGTAAAGATCAGCGTGTCTTCGCGACCGAGCGCTATCTTCTGCGCCGATGACAGACAGATGAACGGACGATCTATCGAAGTGATTGCCAATCGTAGCCTACGAGCGCATCCGTTGCAACAATCGTTACCGATTTGATTTGCTCTTAATTTCGGGCTTCCAGTCAACGCAGCGCGCTACTGTGGCAACCGCTACAACAACAACACGCACATAAATGCCAATATGAATTTCGCTATTTGTTTTTTGCATAAACTATGCTGCACTACTTGACGGCTAGGCTACCGACCGCTTCACTCGCGCCACTTTCGTCATAGCTAAGCGCACTTACGTTGCGAAGGTGGTTGGCGGCTGCGAATTGCGGCTGTGGCAGCATGCGTACGCGTATCTTTTGCCCATCACATTCGCATCGAATTGATTAGCGGCGCTTCATTTATGTTTTGTGGAACAACACGAACGCCAATATGTGCTATTAATCTGATTTCATTTAATTCGTCTACGCCTGACACTGCCACCGTTACTGCCACATTCGGCGACCGGCAGCCGCAAGTAAAATCTTTCTGCCACCGTTTGTGCCACTGCCATTGCCGACACACTGTAGTGCTGCAGTTAATACGGATACGGATACTATTCAATAGTTCGGCTATCGGCATAGCTTAGGTGCCACACTTGCCGCATGCAACACTTTCGGTAGTCTATCGTTTCCATGGGAATTACATACGTGCCGGTTTGTTGTATGCTTTTGATTGCTATTGATTTGTGTGGCTTCCAATTGAAGTAGTTCGCTGTCGAAGGGGGGGTGCTGTGTTGGCTCTTCCCTCTCAGTATAAATATGATATATGCATGCCTTGGCAATTTTCATATGTTACGTGTGTTACGTGACGGCTTAGAATTTGTATTAGACGTGATTCCTTACTGTCGCTGAGGATGCAGTGTTGAGCCATAGTTTGAGTGGAAATTAAGTGGAAATTATATCATATGTTCCTTTGCAGTAGCTGTGGTTTCCGCAGATACCGAATTATTTAGGCTATATGGTATGGCATAGACTTTTTAGATACTATCTCTAATTCATATTATATTATTAAAGAAATATGGAAAAATTTGGCTTTAAGTTTTAATGCCTAAGAATCTGAATCTGAATCTAAATCTGACCGGCTTAGGCTTTATGGCATTAGAAAGACAAGATCTCATACTAACCCCATTCTTACACATCCATCTTATAGTCCGGATCTGCCACCAAATGATTACTAACTGTTGCTGTCTACGGCGAATGATTTTGTTGGGGAAAATGTCTGCTCAAGAAAAGCTTCTGAAAATCGACTGTGCTCGGTTTTTGTAAATAGTGAGGAGGGTTTCTGTGAGAGTGGCACTCTGAAATTACTTATGAAATGGTAACAAGTTATAGATAAAACGGTACTTATTAGACCTAAATCGAATCAACGTTTTATTGGAACCAAAGGTCGTCCACAAAAACATCCTCCCATTCAGGCACGAAAAAGTCATTAATAAAGGCTCTATAGCGTTCCGCATTGACTGTAACTTTATGACCAACTTCAATTTTGAAGAAATATGAACCAATGATTCCCTTGGCTCATAGAGCATAAAAAGTAGTGTTTTTTTGAAGAGGTAACGTTGCTCGCTTTGAGCGCATTCACCGTCGGCTTTTGGGGAGACTTAAATATCTCGCTAATCACCATTCTTTTTTGACAGCTTTCATTTTTAGAGTCACAAACAGCACCTTCGTAAATGTCAAATATACTTTCGGGTAGACATCTCCCTACGAACTTTGCTTTCTTTTCTAGAAAAGTTACCCGAAAGCATTTCTAATCTGATTTTCTTAATTAATTTTTCGCTATCAACCTGCTCAGTGATCTACTTAAAGTCTTTTGCATTTACTTTCCATTAAAATACACCGTCTAGGCGACTCATTCCAAACTAGAATTTCGTTTCGTATTACTTCAATTTCATTACAATCACTATGCGCACGTATGTAGTACCCCACTTAGCAGCTGGCATCAACGGCGCATGGAAAATGTGAAGTGCCTATTTTTAGGCGCTCCTACCAGTGCTGCACTCGACACTAGCGCTGTGCGGTTGAGCGGTGTTCCACCTGAATTTCAGCTTTGTATTTCCGCACTCAAAATTAATGAAAAGCTTTCATTACAGCCATTGTTTTTTTGTTTTTTTTTTTGCCCATTTTCGGCTATTTCTTCTTTTATGCGCCTCTTATGTGTGTTGCTACTTTCTTATTCTATTTCTATGCAGCCTCTTATGAGCATCCCCTTCTAGGCTGCGGACGTCTTGCTTCTTTTACACTTATTTTTGGTGGAGTCTTTCAAGGTGCAGCATTTCACTTTCAAATCAGTTGCAATCAACACGCCAAAGTCGGGCGCTACACACCGCACTCCTCCCCCTAAGTGTATGCTGCACGGAGTGAATGAGTGTGTGTGTGTGGCTATGTGTGTAATAAGGATAAGAGTGGTGGCCGCACATATTCTTATTGTGCTCTAGTACTATTAAAATTTTTTATATAATTTTGTTGTTCATTTGTTTTAGCAGGAGACTGCCAAAAAATATGCGAAATAACTTTAATGGTGTGTGTGTAAAAGGGTGAAGAGTGGCAAAGAAAATATTACTTGGCATGCGGTCGGGGGCGCCGTCGCAGCTGAAGTGGGTTGAAGCGCCAAAAAGTAGGCAAAATAAGTTGTAAATGTAAGCTGCAGAAAGATTACTACGTAGTGCCTTTGCTGTTTGCGCCAAAAGGTAGGCAAAGGTAGGCAAAGCTAGCAAAAGCTGGTAAGGTGATAGCACAGGCACTGGTGCCGCTTCGTCGGCGTATGACGGCTATGAATTCATTTGCAAAGCATAATTTTTGGTAGCCGTAGTCTGTTGGTAACATAAGAAGCTCTGACGCTTTGCTCTATTTAAATTTGGAGCTAGATTTTATATCATTTGTTTTGCTTATTGCATTTTCTTTGTTACTTTTGTGTGCACACTTCAATAATTTCTATTTGCCACACTTGGCGTGTGTGAGCATATTTTACTTGTTTATTTTATTTTTTTTTACTTCGTAGTCTTTCGCATGGTTTCTTTGGTTGCCACAGCTTTGTTGTGTTAATTAAGCAAAAATGTTGATATTGTACTTCAAATGCGAAAGAGTTGAAGGAAAATAGAAAGAAATGCGCGCTGAGCAGTTTCGTTGCGAAATTTAAAATTCAACTCAAAGTGCTTTAATAAAGTTATTGTAGATTTTTGTTAGTTTATTAATCTTTTATTGATTTCGCAAGTCTTTAAGAATTTCAGAAATATTTTAATGAAGGGTTCGCAGTGATTTCAAGGTCAATAAAAATAGAGAGCTGGCACACTTTAGAGAAAAGATTATTATTTTATGGTGAAGAAATGTATTGTCCTTTAGTGTGGAGTCATATTATCAGTAGATGTTGTTGAAGTCCCATTTAGGCCACTTTCAACCTATTCGGTTGGTTCGACACCAAAGTTTCTTAAGCAAATTTGTTCAAAATGATACAGGATTTTTTCATGTTTATGGTGCCCCTTGTTGGTGAAATTATTATATATAATACATCATATTTATTTCTTGTAAATGCATATAATTGAACTTTCTTCACAAGTTGCATCGAAGTGGACTCGAACTGCGATGAAGCAATCTACCCAATTTAAGGTTATCTTAAGCCAAACTTCAGCGTTGATTGCTTTGTCGAGGCGCAGGGGCTTGAGTAAAAGTAATAAGCGCAACCGAAGTTTGATCGAACTCACTATAATACACTCGAACTCCCTTAAATAAAGGTCTCCATCAATTGTTATATATTGTTGGAAATTGTAACCATACTTGTAAATATATTATTACTTACCTTCCAACTTCTGCATTCAAAATCAAATTCGTTGCCAATTATTAAATTACCACACCCACTCGAAAAACCGCAACCGTATAAAGGCTGCACTCAACACTGCTTCATTGCATTTCGTTTTTTGTGTTTTCTTTTTTTTTTGCTTTCTGCAACTGCAAATTTGCTAAAAATGCAGACGTCGACAGCAAAACAAAGGCATACTCGTCTATCAAACGAAAGAGTGGCGGAAGGCAAGACTACGTAATACTCTAAGGACACTTCAATTGTTTTCACGTTTTCGGCAACAAATTCGTTTACAGGCAGACTAATGAGAGCAGTTATACACATGCGTACACACACATATATACATATGTTAGCCTATACTCCATACATATTGGTCATGCCACAAATGTCAACACGCAACAGTCATCAGTCAACAACAGAGCAGTGGAGACATTTGCACAGCAATTAATTAAGCGAAATAATAGCGGATCCTTTCGGGGATAATATTGCCGCTAGGCGCTTAAAAGTCAACAGGGCTGGGGTTAAAGAGAGGTTTTCATAGCTATGCAGGCTTTTCGGTTTTCGTATAGCGTTATGCTTATTAGAAATTTTATTTTAAAGCAAAGCATATTTTCTAATCATTTTTTTCAAATCCTTAAACATAGTGTCTTTTGCATTGAAGCCGCTTGCTTTGTCATCTAAGAAACAATAAGTGAACTGGCGCCCACTTTTAGGTTATTCGCTTAAGTTTAAGATGGCAAGCGATGCTTCTTTTATTTACTTACCACCTGTGGCTATTTGTGATTACCGACAACATGCCCATAATGTACGAGTACATAAGTTTGCAACTAGCAGCCGATCTTCAAAGGCGGTTGTATGTCTAGCGGTCAATATGCAGCGAGTTTTAGTGAGAAAAAACAGTGGCGCTAGTGATAGAGCGAAGATTTGCATTTGGTTTCCGTATGAATGATAATTTCGTCATCTATTAATCCAAATTCTAGGTGTCAGTCAAAAAAACAAAATACAATATTTTTGAAATAAGCAAATGACTCGTCAAAGTGAACGAGTGAGACGTGAATAATTTTCTCGTATAAGCCATAATCAATATCGTAGAGTAAAATACTAATGTGAATAATAGTCTGAAACTCTCATTTATTTGTTAGTAGAAACGTCAATTAGTTAATACTTGTAGTTGTGAAAAGAGTTCAATTTATTTCAATGTCTGGATTATTGGAGAGGCTTCAATGAGTTTACAGTACACTCAACCAGTGAAAAGGTTCAGTTTACACCAATGTCGGGTTTATGGTTAGGGTTTGAATATACTCGCATGTTCTCGATTAAAAAATAGAACTATACGATATTTATCAAATCTCCTACAAACATCTACCACTACGACTCTTACTAAATATTTCGTTCTTGCTATTATTGTAGCGTAAGAAAATATTCACTGAAGAATTTCGTAAGTACTGTATGGTTGACAGTGATTGGCCGGCAACTCCCCCAAGAATGGACAAAATTTCGTTCTTATGTAGCATTTAAAGGTGTGACGCTCAGTCTGGAATAAAACAATAACACATATCGAGGTGACTATGCTTTGAGTAGCTAGTTAATAAGTCTTATTTTAATTTTAGCTAAACCAAAACTTATTTCATAAGATGTATAACCTTATTCTAGGCAGCAATTGGTTATGTTTTGGGTACTTTAGCCGCAATTAGACTTGCAGTGAGTCCGCGTTGTCATTGATCACAGTTACATTTTATGTAACAGTGTTGCAATGTTGCTGGTGAGTCTCCGTTCTAAGCATTATTAGACGCTTTTTTGTAGTACCGTAGTTACTTACGCCCGTATGATCATCTCTGCTTATTCGTCCGACAGACCCCTTTATCAAGTGCAAGATTAAGACTGATAAATCACGTTTACAGTATGCACGATGAAGTGAGAGCGGGATAGAGAGTACGTCCGATAGAGAGAGAGAGAGAGACAGTATACACGATAGAACGAAAACGAGATAAAGAGTATGGTAAGTATAAAGAGACGGAGAGAGAGAGTGACGGAGACAATGCTGCATTTCACGTTAAAGTGCAATAGAATTCTGTGCTCCTGCTCATCAGCACTTTCTGGTGACGTCATCCATATCTGGAAGTCTCTCTAATTTAGTTTGGGCAAATATTTTGAATGGAAGAGTTTAACCTTTACTGCCTTACTTGAAAAAATCACAGACTTGGAGATTTGTAGAAGAAAAAGTATTCTAAGCGAACATTCACTACTTCCTCCGTGTAAAATGTTTTCTTTAGAAACCCCCTTGCTTAAGCGACGCCACTGTACCTGTTGTAGAAATCACTTCCGTCTACAAAAGACACTGTTCACAATACGCAGCACAACCAATATAACAACAATGAAGGAAAAATGCATTAAGGGCTAAGAATCAATATTGGATTGCACTCATCGAAATCAGTGTTCACCGGCGCCGCGCAACTTGTTTATGACACATGACCAGGGCGATGATACGATGAGGCCTATGAAATAAAACGAAAGCGAGACAGTGCTCTATAATGATACTGATTTTACTATGCTTGTGGGTGTGTGTGTAGTTGTATTGGTCAATGTACAGATTGCGCGAAATTAGTGGAGAGAGGTAAGAGTGAGAGAGAGAGAAGAGCAAATTCGACCGGTGCTTAATATAGATTAAGCGTTTTACTGTAAACAATTTATTGGCATAAAATTTAATTGACTAGTCTTGCACAGACAACAACAACCGTGCACTAAGCTTGCGAATAGCCGCGAAATAAGCAAGCAACTTGTAGGTGGTCAAATAGCAGGACTACAAATGGAGGGCTTCCTGATTGTAGCGTCATGCCCATACAGCCATGAGTGCGTTCGCATCAAGAGCGTTTTGCTGTGCAAGTGAGCGGAGCGTGCCGACCGATCACGACTTTATTAACTCACAATTGCTCATCTCCGTTGCCGGCTGGTGCGAGCGGAACGCTGTGGCGGTGTTTAGTGGGTGTGCTGCTGCATGCGGGAGGATTATTGACGTAGCGGCCAGTGCGCCAATAAAATGCATACATACAAACATACGTGTCTGCTACAGATTTTTTGCATTTGCTTTGCAACTTCTAACAATTGGCGCGTATGTTTGTTGCAGCTTTGGTCAATAGATCCTTTGGATAAGGCTTTGCGGTATCTGCGCCCGCTTTGACAGTGACGAGTGACTTCTATTAACGAAATTTTAATAGAATTCTATGTGCTTTTGTTTGCCAGTGAACGCCGCTGTTTGATCTCTGCCGATTTTTGGTAGCGCAAAGCACTTGAAGCTGATCCAAATGGCGCTGTAATTATTTTCAAATATTATTTTAGAGTTTTCTTGTACTTAAAGCGTGCTTATTTCTCATTCTCTTTTTGGTTTTTTTTCGTTTTTTTTTTGTGCATAGCCTATGCTGCCTACATGCATGTTGCATATTAATGCTGCAACATGTGTTCGGCCTTGTTGCACTTACAACTCATGTAATGCATGTGCTTGTAGCCTTAATCCCACTCATGAACTTGTCGCCAGCCACTTGGTTCTGTGAAGCTGCACTATTTTGGCGTTGCTCCAGTTGAGTTGCGCCACTTTTTTGTTTGTTGCAAGTGTGTAGGCATGCATGTCGGCTTGTACCACCTGCAGCTTGCGGTAATCGTTGCAAATGTCAGTTCATGTTCAATTCATATTCACTTCCATAAGGCGCCAGGCGGCTCATATTGGTTGTTGTGTGTTTGTTGCCAACTTATTGCAACGTGTTCTTGTTACCAACGTACATGCAACGTAATTGCTTTGATTTGGTGTGGCTCCTTCGATAACGAGGTGGCATCAATTACTTGTCCAGTATGAATTGTAGGTAAAATGTTGCATTTTAGTACACTATTTGGTATTTCCCGCCGTCGATTGATGTGTGACATTGTGAATATTGAATATCTATTATTTGAGGTTATGTTATGTAAGTAAATTTAATAGATCAATACACTTGAACCAGTTTCATTAACAGATCTAAAAAATACGTTCTCTAGAGTTGTTCCTGGCGATAACCTCGACTCAGATTTTTGGCTGACGAGTGACTCTTTCAAGCTTGGCAACCAAAATAAGTCTTACGGAACCAAATTTTGTGGAATATCATGGATAGGGCAAAATATCGTAGCCTAAATCGACCAATTTGTTAGTGGCGATTCACTGTGCGATTCTCTTTCGAAATACAAAAATCGAATTACCGACCGTTATCACTTTTCTAAAATTCGCGGACACGCCCTCTACGATGACGAATGGTTCTGCTGTGATAGTGACGTAATCGGGTGTAGAGGCCGAATATTTATTGGACCACTCTCGTATAATGCTTACATATTCCACACATTTCTCATGCAACCAATAATTTTTTTATGATACCGGGACTAATATACCGGAACCCATGGAAAGATTTAGTCGCTACATTAATATTCCCAGCATCTAATACTGAAGAGCTTAAAGCATAGAACCATTAGCCGCGTGCCTCTAGACACAAGGGCTTAGAGGAAACCGTGTTGGTAGATTACCTGGTAATGCAAGCGGTAGACAGCAAACATATAAGACTGAAGCCCAACTTAGCAGTGCGTCCATACAGTGAGAGCTCACTAATCGCACGTTCCAAACTAATTAAGAAACGCCTAACCACGCTTTTATTGGCATCGATTTACTTCGTGTTAAGACTAGTATAGGTGCCAGACCACAGAGGAATCGTGGGTAACTGCAAAGCTGTGAGCCGCTATCAATATAAGGGGAATAGGACGTTGCTTCGCTCTCCTCAACTGCTCTACTACTGGATAGCTGGGCTTCGTGAGAGCTTAGGCAGCGCTAGGTAATCTTAAACTTTGCGCTGTCGCAAGATTATGTTGGCTCAAAGGGGACCGCAAGAGTTCTAGTGAGCTCTTCACTTTAAGTAAAGCTAGCTTTTTGCTCTATCGGTGGATGCCAGTTGTAGAAGCTGTTTGGTAGAAGCCGTGCTAGAAATATATCAATACTTTCTTCTTGATTGTTCCCGCCTTATAAGATTAAACACCTGAACGCAAGCACTTTCAGACATCCTGGTGGAAATAGAAATAAAACACCTAAGCAGTTTTGTATTTCCGACTTATAAAGATTCTGACTTCACAAAGCATTGTGTATAGTAGTCCAAATGCGAGCTCCAACTTGAGGATTAGCCATTGAACTTAACCTCACTTAACCATACAGTATTAAATCAGATATTTGTATTGATCTCAAATCGTTCTGTTGATTTATTAGTTTATTTATTATAGCAGTTTTAATTTTTGGCTTCACAAAGCACTATAATATTAGTCCAAGTACGATCCACACTTTGAGCAACAGTCATCGAGCCTAATTTAACCTAACTACACAGTATCAAAAAAGTGTTTCGAAGATAATAAAAAAAATGTAAGAGGTTGGTCTTGTATATAAATGTCAGGCCTTTGCCTAGCGATACTGTTCTTGATAGGTTCCTGACAGAGAGGTTATCAATCTCCTCGGTGAAGAATTAAGATTAATTGTGACAGTGCATACTGGTCACTGAAAACTGCATTATCAATAGTCGACGGAACACTCTTGGTTCTGCGATTGAAGAGGAAATAAAGGCGTCGTAAAAGAGTACACATAGTTTTCATAACCAGCTTAGGCTTCCTTAAAGCGCTGAGTTTGGATTAGTGGACTTAGGTAACAATAAATCAATGTTATATATATGCCAATTATCTAAACTGACTTTAAGACTACAACAAGTTCTGCGCTTTGCTTCTTCAATATTTTTTATTCAACATTTTCGTTTGCTACTTTTGCATATCATTTAAAAAGTCGAATTTCACAAAGCACTGCATCACCCACCAACATTTCTGCCACAATAAAATTAACTGTATAAAACACATGTGCTGTGCGAAAACAACAAAAATCGAAATGTACATTTCACACATCACAGCACCCGTAACGAGCTGCCGCAAAAAAAAAAAACACGCATATCCTTTTTCGCAAATTAAGCGACTGCTGCAAAAAGGAAAGCATATTAAATATGCATGTGGTAGGAAAAAAAAGCGTGCGCCGTGGTGCTGCAGCAATCACCTGCCAAATCGCGAAAACCGCGAAAAACACGCCAGCACCGCCGCCGATGACGTCGTTTAAAATTAACACTTCAGCAAACATACTAAATTATGCCAGGATACCCACTCACGACTAAAGCATCCTTATAACGTGCTGTTGCCACACTGCCATGCCACCATGTGTGCGTTATTGTGCGGCGTGGCTATGCGCTTAATGAGTTGCTAAAAAAGCAGCCAAGCCGCACTGCAGAAATCATAGAAAAAATTTACACGAAAATTATGTTGCAAGCACGCAATGCGTCGCGTAAAAAGGATATCCTTGTTGCGGGTGTGTGGCATCTGCAAGCAACACGGCGGATGGGTGCTGTATGTGGCATGTGTGGCAACATGTGTGCATATGTAGGTATTTTCTACAGTTTGGGGATGTGGACGCCCACACACACGCACCACGCGCTACTCTCTCTCCCTCCCTCTCTCTTCGCGCGTATGATTCGCGGCAATCCTTGTGAATTATGCACATCGTTTTTGTTTTTGTGATAAATGTGCTAGCAGTTACATGTGTTTTCGAAAGAGCTCTTACTTTTTCAGTTGGGCTTGAGCGTAAAACGCGCTGTCTCCATAAAGACATTAACACTTGATATTTTTTGGCAAGTCGCGTGTCGTCTGCGTGATTGTATTGTTTTTCTGGCGCTCTAATTTTTTTATATTGGTGTACTTACATGAGGCTAACCGTTTTATACTTTTTGTAAAAATTCTGTATCAATTTTGTTTTTTGTTAATTTTTTCCACAAAAAAATTTTATTAAAAATTTATTAGATGACAGTTGAACTTGTCTATATTTTATATATTTATTTCAAGTAAAGGTAGTCTTTTTGCGAATATGACCCATGAAATTTTCAAGATATTTTTAACTAAACTATTTTTTCGTGCTAAGAAAAGCTAAGCTTGAATGGAAGCGAAGTGAAAATCGAATAATTAGTTTTTTATATTAAGCCCTTCTTTAAAGGATCAGTTTTTTAAATACTTTATTTTATATTCCCTGAGGTGTAAAGGGTATTTTTTTTCATCAGTTTGTATTAGAACTATATTTAGTTACTACAAGTATATAGTAGTCCGATCTGAACAATTTACAAAGAGGTGATTGACACAATAAAATTTTAACAAAATGGTCATTACCTCCTTAAAATGTAAACAAAAGGGCTACTGACCCCAAACGTAATAAAGGTTGTTGACTTGGGTAAATGTAAACCAAGGTAGCGGTCTTGGCTAAATGTAAACAAAAGGCTCATTGACGCCATAAAATGTTAACAAAAGGTTCATTGAACTCATAAATTGTTAACAAAGGGATAATGTATGCAAAAGTGTTACTGACCCCAAATTTAAAAAAGGTTGCTGACTTGGCTAAATGTAAACAAACCAGTCATTGACCTCAAAAAATGTAAAAAAAAGTTGTTAACTTGGCTAAATGTAAACAAAGGGGTCAATGACGTCAGCACACCAACTCCGGGAAAAGTATTGTTTCATTGAAAGCCACACGTATAAATATGTGTCAATATGTGTATTTCTCACATAATGGATGGAATCGCTACGCTCTGGAAGGTCATAGAAGTCGTCGAGTCCGTCACACTGCCTTTTAAGCACTGTTTCGACAAATAAGGTTAGATACAAAATGAAGCTCGATGTTTGGATGCCACAATTTCTTACCTTCTCAGTTATAAAACCTAATTTGTGTATTTTTTAGCTAAATCGGTTTATTATAATTTTGCTAAAAAAATACCTTCAATATTCAATAAATATAAATAATTTTATTTTATGGAGCTATTATAACCTAGATCTATTATAAAGTGATCAATACTACTGCCACTAAATTTATTAAATAAAGTTTACTCTTGAGAATATTATTGTAAGCTAAGTAAGTACATCAGCCGCTAGAGTTAGCTCTTACTACTATAAAGAAACAGTTAACTATAACCACAACTCTTTCAATTTTATTTAGTATAAATAAACTTCCTGCGAATACCAATATAATTTAGTTATTTTACAATATTAAATGAGTTAGCGTTTGCAAATACTCAGCGGAGCATTAAAATCCCTGCATTCTCTGCCACAAAAGCTTACTCGCAGAATCGTTGGGCAACCAAAGTTACCAAACCAATTGAGACAGTCAGTCAGTTGGTGAGTCAGCGTAGTTCCACTCAATGGTAAAATAATTTAAAATCTCCTAGGAGATAATTTCCTACGTATTACACGCGCTCATCACAACGCTAGCAGAGGGCTGTGCGATGCCGACACGCCGGCCTAACTCCCAGCAAGGGCTACTCGTCAATGTTCCCAGCGACCATCAACTCACCGCCCAGCGCCGAGCTAAGCTTGATGAAGTTCGCTCGGCTTGTAGGGATTCATTGATGCCGCTAAAGTATTAAAAGTTTTATTCTGCCTCTCATCATGCGAGCGCAACTACCGTTATTGCAATTTGTTGGTTTTCTAGCTAGAGTTTTTGTTGTTGCTGTTGTTGTTGTATAGGATGACGATTATATGCGAAAATCGAATTTAAATTAAGTATTTCTCATTTCCAGTGCGGCGAATTGATGGAAATGAATTTGTTACTATACAAGTTTCCTATGCCGCCGCTGCCTCCGCGCACGCTCTCGTTTTGTTTCAGGAAGCAGGCAGGAAAAATGAAAAAAAAAAATACAACAAAAAAGTATATTAACATGAAATCGAAATGAATTTACAAAATTCCTTGGAGATGCGTGTTGTCGACGAAGCAATAATATTGGCGGAGTTGGCGTTGCAGGGGAGCGCATGTCCTGTCGCAGTCACTGATTTGCAAATTTTTCTTTATTTTTTTTTCTTTTGCTCAAACCACTTCTCCCACCAGCACATTGACTCAACAGATAATTCGCTTTTAATGGCAATTCATTAGGCGGCCGTGTGGCGTGGCGCAAAAAGTGCAGAAAAATGTGAGCGGGTGTGAGCTTACGTAAGTAATGAACACCCAACTCAGCCGTACGCCATCGACATGTGCGACAGCTTCCTTCCGCAATTCATGTTTCGTACACAATTCTGAATTTAATTTAATTCCAAGCAATACTCAGCCACTCATCAACTCATCTGTGTCAGTTGGGGCGTGCAGAAGTTTTTCTTAATTTGTGCCTTCAGCAGCCGCTCGCACCACTCAGGTGAGCTATGGAAAACACATTCGTTTCGCAGCGTCGTTTTCATCTTATACACATTGCATACGTTTGCTTGTTTTCCGTTAAGTCATGCAATGACAACACTTGATTGCCACGCAGACTGCATGTATGTAGGTGGCGTGAAAGAATCATAAATGGTTGTGGTCTGAGGGTAAGCTTTTCATAGTTGAGCGCCTGTTTTGTAGCTGGGTAGTGGGCACATTACCGATTCGCGTTTTCAAAGTAAATCAAATTTAATTATATTCTTACACGCAGACAGTACAACAAGAACTACTGAACTCCATGTGGACCAACATCACTGTTTATGTGAGTCTCCAGATGAAAATCATGACCATATACCATATACTTATATAATATATTTAGAGCTTGGGAAATACCGTCAGCTTATATTCCAAATTTGTATGAACCCATGGTGTTTAGCTATTTGTAGTATTCGTCTAGCACCACAGCCCAAATATCCCTCCGCAGTTGGAAATTTTAAAATAAGTAATGGTTTGGCTGTCATGGTATTATATATTATATAAGTAATATACTAAGCAAAAGATATGGGTCTTAGTAAAGCGGTTAGAGAAACCTTAGTTACTGTTAAAAATATCTCAATGTCCAAGATCACTCATCGCATTTTTGAAATCCCTTACCAATATAGAATAAATAATTGAACTTCAGAGACCAGAGAGCAATTGAAAACAGGAACTAATGCTGGTACAACTGGGCTAAAATAGTTTTCGAGAAATAGAAATAAAGGTCCGAATAGTGGTGGTTCGATCACAACAATTTATTCGGATATTATGGAGATATTTTTGACAATAATCCATGTCAAAGTTCGTGAAGATATCTTGTTAAATACGAAAGCTTTCCATACAAGAACTTGATCTCGATAGATTAGTTTTTATGTCAGCTATATTACTCACACGGACTCGAAAGGACTGCAGTACGGTTGTTGATCTAATGAAAGGTCACAACCTAGTGGCAGCACATGCGAGCCGAATGGGCATAAGTAACGACATTACATGCAGAAAGTGCAGGGAAGTAAGCATGAGCGAGACGCTGGAACACCTCCTCTGCTTCTGTCCAACATTATCTAGAACTCGGCTTAGATGTCTTTGGGCTTCGCAGTTCAAGGGACTTGATGAAGTAGCAAACGTAGATTTCAAGTCGCGCGTATATTTCCTAAAAGGGATTGACGTCCTCTATGACGAATACTTCAGCTCAAATTGAACTGGAGTTCCATCTGGCATTACAAAGGACCAGTAGGTCTATGTATAATGTGAAAGCTGGCAAGTATAACCTAAGTTAACTTTATAGGGTTTTGCTGTCAAAGGACTAAAAAACCAGAACTTAGTTATTCAGCTTATTATACCCTTTTAAGAATAGCTAAATTTGTCTTAGCTGTCCGAAGTTGGCAATTCTGAATTGAACTCCTCTTTCGGCGAACAAAAATTAAACGTTTTCAGTTTGTGATATTTATTTGTTTCAGAAACCACAACTATGACAACATTCGATTTGTTGAATTTGACCAGGAAAAAATGGGTTCCAGATTCGGTTAAGAAAGAAGATGTACTTTTTTCATTAGTTTTTTGGAGGGATTCTACTGGATTCATCGTCTTTGGAGCTCATATTGCTAAGTATAACTTAACCAACTGTCAAGGAATCGTTATTGGGTTCGTGCAGAAATAATGATTGTCCGACAATTGTGAAGTTTATAGATGTATCTCTTCAGTTTAGGTCGAACGAATAAACATATGGTTTCAATACTAGTAGCATCTTAAGATGAGTTAGGTTTTCGACATAGATGGCATGTTGATAACATATAGCTTGGGAGAATGATATTGTACTTATTAAATATTATTTTACTTAGCACTCCGCCACTGGTTTAATGTTTATTGTATGTTTTGTCTGTATAACTATCACTTGAGTTTGTAAATGCAAATGCATTTTTGTTAAGCGAACGAATAAGTAAACTCAAAATGACATATTTTAAGAAATATCAGCGTTAATTCCAATTTCTAAACCTACACCCGCTTACCACCTTTAATGTGGAAAAATAATAAATTTATTAAGTTTTAATTATTTTCCAAGCAAACTGAAATTCTTGTTGCGAGCATAAAACCACAAGATTTCCTTTATCTCGAGAGCGAGCACTGAGTCAAGCCGCTGGCCAGCCATCCAACCAACCAGCAACCAAGCAAAAAAGCTACGAACCACTCAACAAAAGAAAGAAGTTGAGAATTTATTTTAAAACAAAACTAATTCCGAAGAAAATAATTTCCTATATTTGATTTACAGTCTAAAGGCTAAGATGCAAAGGCCAAGCATAGATTTGAGCTGACTAGCGGAAGGGATAAAAAGGATAATACGACCAGTAGTGGAAAATAAACTAAAAGACACAGCAAAGCTGAGCTAAGAAATGCCATGCCAGTCGACAGTGGCGGCAAGTGAATTCTTGATAGAGCAATAATATTCATAATATAAAAGAAAATTTGCAGAATTTTTGTTTACCAGCAGTAAAGTGCAGCATAATTGTGCAAAATTAACGAGTGGTTCGAGTGGAGTGCATAAACCGCAAGTTGCGATGAAGAAATAAATGAAGGAAAGGACACTCGTTCAAACGTAAGAAACAAACAACGAAGTGAGCAG